TCCCTTAGCAAACAAGCAGGACCCCTGCCCCACAGACCCATGGGCAGCACCTCCATGGGGAGGTGGGTACAGACTGAGCCCCACGCCAGCGAGGCTGGGCCTGGATGTCTACTGAGGAGGGGCCGTGCTCAGGACCCTGTGCAGCCGTGTGAGGTCCTGGGTATTAGCTGAATAAGCGCCTCTTGAGCAGACACCGTGGGGAACGCATTTTTTTTAATGTCCTCATAAATACGATTTGAAGTATGACTCAGATAGTAATCAAATACCTGCCTTCCTGGGCACATGATAGGGACTTAGCTTGCCTACATGGATCGATTCCACGAAGACTTACTATGCAGCCTGTGTATTCAAGGCTGTCTTCCAGACAGCTGGGGGCGGGAAGCATCCCAGCCCAGGGACCTGGCAGCTGGAAGGCAGAGGCCTTACAGAGGAGGCCCAGAGGAGGGCTGTGGCCAGCGAGTTTCTAGACAGCGCATCTACTGGAATTCCTAGGTTGTTCTTCAGATCATCACATCCTGCTTTGGGACCTCCATAGTACGTCTAGGAACCAATGATGTGGCTTGGCTTGTCCCTTAGAGAGCTGGGCAAGGCATGGCCATGGCCAGGCCTCCTTTTCCTCCTCCTTAGACTCACACTGAAGTCCCAGGGCAGGGGCTGGGACAGCTCAGTATAGAGGGGGAAAAAAGAAGAAAGAGGACAGAAAGCGTGGAGATGACCTGCCTGTGGCTTCGGCCTCTCAGCTGCCCTCTGATCTCACCCACAGTAAATCATTTCCTGTGGGCAGAGATAAGTCTCAGACCCTCCTTGATCACTGGGATTTTATTTCCGCCCTCGGTGACATCACAGCTAAGGGCGGGGCCGGGAGGCCTGTTCCAACCACAGTCTCCAGCGCTCTCTGAGAGCTCTCTGGGCCTGCCTGATTCCTCACTCTCAAAGGAGAGAGGAGAAAACGAGTTATAAGAGTTAAAGATGTGGCCAGGCGCTGGTGGCTCACGCCTGTAATCCTACTCAGGAGGCTGAGCTCTGAGGATCTCGGTTCAAAAGCCAGCCCAGGAAGGGAAGTCGGAGAGACTCTTATCTCCCAGAAACCACTCAGAAAACCGGAAGTGGCACTATGGCTCAAGTGGTAGAGTGCTAGCCTTTGAGCTGAAGAGCTGAGGGACAGCGCCCAGGCCCAGAGTTCAAGCCCCACCATCGACAAAAAAACAAAAAACAAAAATACAAAAAAAAAAGTTAACAATGTGTTACTCCCAGTGTGTTGCGCATCAATGAACGTGGCCTTCACTCTGAGGTAAGTCTTTACCACTCAGGGCCTTGTACTTGCAAGGCAGGTGCTCTACCACTTGAGCCATACTTCCAACCCTTTCTACTTTTGTTATTTTTCAAATAGAGTCTCCCTTGGGCCTGGCCTGGACCACGATGTTCCTGTTTGTGCTTCCCACATGGTTAGATCGATCGCTCGGTGCCTGCTGCTGTGCCTAGCTTATTGGTCAAGATGGGATATCTGGTGAACGTTTTGCCTGGGCTGACCTAGAATCATGACCCCTCTCCCCCATCTCCACCTCCAAGTGGCTAGGATTACAGGCATAAGCTATTATACCTGCCTCTATGCCAAACTTTTAAAGTGTGGAAACCGAGGCACATGGAGCTCAGCAGCTCGCGCAGGGTTACACAGTGGTAAGTGGCAGAGCTGGTCCCACAGCATCAACCTTCAACCTGACTGAGTTACGCCTGGCCCAGTGCTTGGTGCAGAGGCTGTGGGTATGTCCCAAGAAACTGCCCACTGCCTCCTCAGGCCAGGTCTCTAGCTCAGCCTCCATTCTGTGGACTCCAGCTGCCCACATCCTTCCCTTCCTAAAGCCTGGTAGCCCCCCTGGCACCTTGGGCAGGGAACAGTGGAGAGTTTGCTCTGGAGGAGACCCCACAGGTGACCTGGGCCTCTAGGGACCCAAGGCCAAGCAGGACGTGGCCCTGCTGCACGGCGGGTCAGAGGCAGCGTGGGGTCCCGCAGCCCTTCCTCTGCTTCACATCCGGTGAAGCACAGGCCCACGGAGGGCGTCCCTGTCCCATGGGTTAAGTCCATGGCTCAAAGCAAGACTCAGATGACAGCAGGTAAGGAATTCCCCATTCTCCTCCCCAAGAGGCCTGGAAAGCGCTTCCACAACCGTCTTCCACCTCTAGCCAGGTAGGACTCCATCTCCCCAAGGACCCTTTGTTCACCAAGGTCAGCAGCTGGGGGAGAGCAGGAGACAGGTGTGGTCGCAGGACAGGAAAGGAAACCCCACGGAGGAAAAGAAAGGTGCCCTTCCCACCCCTACCTCCCACCTTTTAAAAGAATTCCTGGGAAATCATGAAGTGGATTCTTTGGGGATTAAGAACCTGGACTTTGGAGTTGGTTGGACCTGGGTTAAAACACCAGTCCTGCCACTTGCAGGCTGTGTGATTTTCAGAAATGCACTTGGCTTCTCTGGGTCTGTGTACTGAAAACAATAATTCATATGTGGAAGAGTTAACACAATACATGTAGGCAGCCAGGGCCTGTTTATTGGGCATGATACTGTTAATAGAATGTGTTGTGGCTCACAGGCAAGCATCTACACAGAGGGTCCTACATTCCTATAACCACCCAAACAAACCACACTGAACACGCGCCCCACACAGACCATTAGGAAGGCAGTACTCACCAGACACGGGGCCTGCTCTGCCCTCCCTCCTCACCAGGCCCTGAGGTGTGGGTCCCAGGTCCCTCCTGTCCCAGGCCAGGCTCCCAGGCTCCCCGCAGCCTGGGACGGGGACACTGGACAACCTGAACTCTCTGCCTGCCCTCCCCCGCTCCCAGGAAGCTAACCCCATTTCCACGGTCATCTCCAGGGCAGCCCCAAGCAGGGCCCCAAGTGCTGTCTGTCCTCCATCCCCAGGACAAAGGCCCAACAACCTGGCTTTCGTGCCAGCTGCGGTCGGGGAAACCCCTGCAGCCTGCAGAAACCCAGCTGACTTTGAAAAGGAACAGCAGCGCCAGCGGGGTGGCGGCCCCTCCCTGTGGGGGCAGGTGCTAAGTAACTCCATAAACCCCCAGCGCCCAGCAATTATGGCCATAAACAGAGCCCTGGAGGGCGCAGGGCCAGAGACCAGACCCTCAAAGGGCAGCCAGACCCGAGGGGGGGTCCCCTCCCACCTACTTCCCAGCAGGGAGACCAGCAGAGAGGGCCTCGCTGCCGTGGGCGTGGCACCCACCCGTGGCTGAGACAGCTCCTGCCACCCCCCACCCCTGACCCACCTCTGACTCTAAAGCCTCCAGGCCCAGCGGGCTCCTCTGGGGTTCAATCTGGCCATTCCCTGTGCCTAGTTCCACGGGACCAGGAACCAACCGTGCTGGCTCTGCACCCCTCAAATCTGAACGGGGGACAAAATAGCACTGGGCTACCACAGGCCTTCCTCCCACCCCGGTCCACCACCACCCTCCTCCCAGGAGGCCAGACGCGAGGGAAGGAGTTGCCATTTCCCTCCAGGCTGGGGAAACGGAGGCAGGCGAAAAGAAAACACCATCTCAGGCTACCCAGACCGCCATCCCCTTCTACTGCCTGTCCTGGGCCGGCCCGCGGGTCCCGCGGGGCGCCGGGCGCGGGCCGGGGCCTGGGCGCCCGGGTGGAGCCCGGAGCCCGGCCTCCGCTGCGATCTGACAGCATCGGCACCTGGCCGCCCCAGAGGAAACCGGAGCCCGGCCTCACTCAGCCCCCACGGCCCGGGAGGGTGCCAAGTCTGGGCCAGCGGAATCTGGGCCAGGGCGGGCGCGGGGGCCTGAGGCCACGTCCCCGAGGCCCGGTCCCCTTCCCTGCTCGCCCCAGCATCCCCCCGGGGCCGGGAGGTGAAGAAGCGGCGCTCCCCGCGGGGACCGCTGGGCCGCACGGCGGCGGGCTCGGGAAGGGCGTCGCGGCCGGGCCGGGCGCAGGGGCCCGGGGCCCAGCCGGCGCGGGCGCCGACGAGCCCCGCCCGGGCGCCCTCGCGCCCTCCCTCCGTCCCTCCCTCCCGCGGCGCGGGGCCGGGCGCCCGGGCGGCTGCGGCGAGAACCTGCTCGCGCAGCCCGGAGCCGCTCGGGGCGGCCGTGCGTGAAGCCAGGCCCCGCTCCGGGAAGGGTCGAGGGGCGGGCACGCGGGTGGCGTCGGCCGGGTCCCTCCGCGGAGGCGCCGAGCCGCCGAGCCGGGTACCCAGAAGGGGTGGGGGGAGAGGGGGGCGCCGGCCCGGGGTCGGGGCTGGACGGCCTCGCACTCGGGGGACGCGACGCGTGTTTTCCAGGGTTCGACACCCGCACGGGGCGGGGACGGGGCTCGGGGCTCGGGGACTCCGAGCGGAGGGTACGATCGGAGTTCGGGGTCTCCTGGGGTCGTGGAGTCACGCAAGGGAGGGGGGGGGAGAATCCCGGAGGGGGACCGTGGTCGGCGCAGGGGCGGCGGCTTCCAGAGGCCGGGAGGGAGGGAGGGGGGACAGGAAGGGAGGGCGGAGGGAGGGCGCCCCCCCAGCAGCCCGGCCCCCGGGGCGGGGCGCCGCCCGGCCCTCCCACTCCCCCGACCATCGCGGCCGGACCCCGCACACCTCCCCGGCCTCCGACCCCCGGCCCCGCCACGCCGGGCCCAGGCGCCCCACAAACTTTTCAAGTTCACCACCGCCCCCCCCCCGCCGCCGCCGCCCGTCCCCCCGACTCCCGGACCGGCCAGGCCCGAGCGCGCCCGGCCCCTCCCGCCCGGTTACATAAGGTCGCCGCGAAGCCGCCCCCGGCCCGGGCCGAGGGAGGGGCGCGGGGCTCCGGGCCCCGCCGGCAGCGCCGCTCCGCCCGGCCACGCGCCGCGCGCCCGCGGCTGGACGCGCTCGCCCCCGCCCTCGCCGGCCCGCACTCCCCCCCCACCTGTCCCGGGACCCAGGGGACGGAAGCGCGGGAGGGGGGAGCCTGGGGGGGGTCCCGGGCTCCCTGCTCGTCCCTGCCCCCCCGCCCCGGCTCGGCTCACCTCCGCCCTGAAGGTCAAGCTGTCCGCCGCCGGCGTCGGGAGGTTCCGGCAACTTGTCTCAAGTTGGGGTGCCCGACCCGCGAGCTGCGCTCGCCGCCCGCTCCCGGGCTCCTCGGGCTACGCGCCACCGGGGAGGCCCGCCCTCGTCTGCACTTCCCGCCGCCGTCCGCGTCGACGCGGCTCTCTGCGTCCCGCCCGTAGCAGCCGCCTCCGCTGTCACCGAGCCCCGCGCCCGGCACCCGGGCTCCGGCTGTCACTCAGCGCCCACTTCCCGCCGCGCCCGGCAGAGGGCAGCACCAGCCCCGCGGCCGACTCCGCCCCCACGGTCCGCCCCGCCTCCGCCAGCCTACCGCGGTACCCGCTGGGAAGCGTAGTCCGTACTTGAAGTCCCGCTAGGCACGCCGGGATTCGTAGTCCGGCTCTTCTGGCCAAGGTTTCCAGGAACTGGTCTTTGGACTTGGAACTTTTTTGTTCGCTTCTGTCTGTCCCTTTTTCAAATTTTCTTTCTCCTCTCGGTCACCGATGCTCCAAGCCTGGACCCCACTACGTTACATCTTGTGACCTGCCTGACCCCCAAGAAGGAGCCTATAGCAGGCTGTTTTGCTAGGAATCTGGGAAAGGTGTCCCAGATGGAGTGTGGTTGCCATAGAAATCCTCTTGGCAAACCCATTTCCCTCCGGCTTTGGAGTGGAGTGTGGGACCTGGCTGTTGCCCTTTTACCTCTACTCCTAGAAGAGGCAAGCCTGAGGTCAGCCAGGAGCCTGCCCCTGCCCCTAGGGGTCTCCATTTTCGTTCCCTCATCAGCTAGAACTTGCTAGGTCCCCCCACCACCACGTTGCTGGTCAGACTTTTTCTAATCTACTTTCGTGTCAACTTCTCTGTTGAGTCAAGGATGCTAAACCATCATTCTCTGCTTTCTTTCCTTTCCCCCTTTTCATCTTTTCTTCCTCCTCCTTCTTTCCTCCCTCTTTTCCTCATTTTTCTCTTCCTTCTCCACCTCCCTTTCTCTCCACCTGCTCCTCTCCTCCTCCTCCTCCATTTCCTCTTCCTCTCTATCTTTCCTTCTCTCCTCTTTATTTTCCTTTTCACACCATGTTAGTTCAGATTTCTGAGGGTTTTGCTAGGCAGCTTCTAGTGAAGACAGAATGAAGTCTACAGGGTCGGAGTAAGTGGGCTTAATTTCCATGTAACTCATGTAATTCTCCCTCATGTCCATATTTGAGGTCATACCTCCATCACATACTAGTCCTGGACATACATAGGAGTTTAGACAATAATACCATCAGTCTAAGCCTCACATCTGTAGCTCATGCCTGTTAAGTACCTACTCAGAAGCTGAGATCCAGAGAATCAATTGATGCTTGAACCTAGCCAGGGCAGAAAAGTTTGAGAGTCCATCTCCAAAATAACCAGCAAAAAGACAGGCTGGAGACATAGCTCAAGTGGTAGAGTGCCAGCCTAGCAAGCAAACTAAAGTAGTGGGAGGCCTTGAGTTCAAAGCACCAAAAATAAGAAAGCATAAAAAGTCTGTGTAACTCAGCCTTGGCTCATGGAAGTCCTTCTGGAAATAACTGGCAGCACCAACCTCCTGAAGGCCCCATATTGCAAGTGCACATAGGTATCTAGCATCCTCCAGAAAATTCCAGTCTAGGGGCTAGGAAGGGGGCTCAGTGGTAGAGCGCTTGCCTTGCATGCCTGAGGCCCTGGGTTCGATTCCTCAGCACCACATAAGCAAAAAGAAAAAAGCCGGAAGTGGCGCTGTGGCTTAAGTGGTAGACCGCTAGCCTTGAGCTGAAGAGCTGAGGGACAGCGCCCAGGCCCAGAGTTCAGCCCCACGACCAGACCCAAAAAAAAAAAAAGAAAAAGAAAGAAAGAAAATTCCAGTCTACTTACAGCTAAGGAAAGCGGCCCAGCTGTGGAAGTGCTTCAGCCCCTTCCCCTTCCCCCCCCTCCCCCCCCCCTCCCGCCACTGTGAGTGGACATGTATGAGGTCTTGAGTCAGTGGGGTGGGGTAGTTCCAGGGAGAATCAGTGAAGTGGATCAGCAGAGCATTTCTCATTGTTAAGGGTTGAACTCTTATCAGGTGCTGGTGGCTCACAACTGTAATCCTAAGTACTCAGGAGGCTGAGATCTGAGGATCACGGTTCATAGCCAACCCAGGCAGGAAAGTCCATGAGACTTATCTCCACTAAAAACTACCAAAACAACAGCAACAACAACAAAAGGCGTAGCTCAAGTGGTAGAGCACTATCCTTGAGCGCAAAAGCTCAAGGACAGCACCTAGGCCAAGAGTTCAAGCCCAGGACTGGTGGTGATGATGATGATGATGATGATGATGATGATGATGATGATGATGATGATGAGTTGGCCCCTTCACAAAGACATACACATAAGCAGGTGACTCGCGCCTGTAATCCTAACTACTCAAAAAGTAGAGATCTGAGGATCTTGATTCAAAGCCAGACCAGACAGGAAAGTCCTTGAGACTTGTCTCCAATTTACCACCAGGATATCAGATGTGGGAGCTGTGGCTCAAGTGGTAAAAGCAGCAAGCAGCCTGAGGTTCAGAGGTCAAACCCCAAACCCAGCCTCAGGCACTAATTCTCTGAGAATCTCAGTGACCCACCAGGACACCTTGGGACCACTCAAGTGGACAAAGAGGGAAATCTGCCCTGACTGTTATTCTCCCCTTCCCAGAGACCAGAACACCTTATAGCCCCCACCCCCAACACCTTCAAACCCAAACAAAAGGAATACACAACAAGCTGGCTAATGTGAAGATCTATTTATTATTAGAGAAAGTCCTGGATCCAGAGAAGGAGGACAGAGAGAATATTTCCTGGGATGGTGGTGGGAACTATGAGGAAGAAGGGTTCCCAGGGGTCCAGGCAGGAAGTCTAGATGGCAGTGGCAAAGCCCACTCTGTTGTTGGCCACATCGAAGATAGAATAGTAGGACCTGAGGAAGACATCTCCAAGGATCCAGAAGGGCTGTCCACTCTCTAAGGTGATGTCAATGGACTCGATTCCCACCATGCAGAAACCATCTTCCTGCTCAACAAAGAGGATTTTTTTTTGCTCACATGAGTTGGACACCACTCAGCCCTGACCCCTGGGTCAACAATTACACTCATTGGCCAGTTGGCCCACCAGAGCAGGGGATGATGGGAAAATTTCTCCAATTGATAATCCGGGCTCCAGCGGTCCTCTGCCCGTGGCAGGGCATTTCTCTTCTTACATGCTCCCCTCCAGCTCCCGATTTGCAGTCTGTTTGTTTCATCTTGGAACCAGACCAACTTGGATGCTAACTTTTGCTTTCTCCTCCATAGCCAAATGGCCTTAGGTCCATTATTCAACCTCTCTGATCCTCTAAGTTTATACTCGTAGGATACAAATGAGGGTCTCCCTCCTCAGATACTGTGACAATGAAGCACATTGCCTAGCCCTCATCAGCACTCAATAAGAGCCCAGTTCCTGTCTCCTCTAATAATGACAATAATCATGGATCATGGATGATGCTCTGGAGCAAATAAGTCAGTGTTGTGATTAACTGGGGCATAGCACAAGGCAAGGAGGCGGAGCCTTCCTGGTGATGCACCCATCTCTAATGCTCCAATCCTGGAGACTCCACCTACCAGGGCCAGGACTTACTTCAAGGATGTAGGCGGAAGGCTGCAGAGGAAACTCCACACCGTTGATGACGAACTTGAGGGTGGGCAGGCTCTCCACATTGTTACAGTTCACGAAATACTGCAGAGAGGAACAGAGCCCTCCTAAGCCTGCCACCTCAGGCCACAGGCCTAAACCCCTAACCTGCTTCTGTACGGGAGGGCTGAGCTTCAAGGGAAATCCTATGCAAATTTCAATAGCATTCTACAGTGGACTCATAGTACCTAATAGACAGTATGGATTTGGGGGAGACCTAAAAATCTTCCCCACCCCAGCTTGAATTACTGCCCTCACTGCAAGTACCTTTATGTGTGTGAGTGTACGTGCATGTTGGGGATTGAACCCAGGGCCCTGCCTTATGCTAGGTAAGTGCTCTACTTCTTGAACAACATCCCTCGCTTGACTGGTGCTCTAGCCCTTGAGCCACAGCTCCACTTCTGGCTTTTTGCCATCAGAAGTCTCATAGACTTTTCTGCCCCAGCTGGCTTTGAACCTCAATCCTTATATCGCAGCCTCCTAAGTAGCTAGGATTTTACAGATGTGAGCCACAGTGCTGGCCTGCCACTATATTTTAAAACACATAAATGTATAGAAAAAGTAGCACCATTGGGCCCCCCCCCCAAAGTTAGCAGGAAGGGGTTCATTAGGCCAACATTTCACTGGGCTCAGACAGACAGGAGCTGGGTTTTTTGGTTTTTTTTGGGGGGGGATCCGGTCATGGGGCCTGAACTCTGGGCCTGGGCGCTGTCCCTCAGCTCTTCAGCTCAAGGCTAGCACTCTACCACTTGAGCCACAGTGCCACTTCCGGCTTTTTTCTTTTTGCCTATGTGATGCTGAGGAATCGAACCCAGGGCCTCAGGCATGCAAGGCAAGCGCTCTACCACTGAGCCACTTTCCCAGCCCCCTTTGCTTCACTTCCTAGTTATTTCACTCTAAGCCAAAAGGTCCAGAAGCTTTTAGTCCATTTCCCTGAGCAATTGTAGCTCAGAAGAAATTCCTGCCTAGCACTCTCCACCTCCGGGCCCCTCCCTCCGGCCAGGGCCCCGGGCTCCTGCTGGCCTCTTCCACCAATGCCTTGGGTCACTAGAGCCCTGGGGACCAAGAATTTAGATATTTGGAGTAATTCCCAAATGCCTCTGGGCCAGCCTGGGGGTGCGAGGGCTCTTGCCATACCCACCTGTCCATATGCGCTCTCCTGGGCTCCTATGACCTCCAAAAGGGTGCTCAGGTAATTCTTAGGGACGGCAAGCAGAGAGGTGCCTGTGTCCACGATGCCTTGACAGCCCTGAGAGCACCAGCCGGAGGCCTGGTCACCAACAAAGAACCTGAACGCAGGGGGACAAAATGGCAGCCTCAACCCTACGAGTTCAGCACCGCCGGGTGCGCTTCCCTGCCCCTGAGAAACAGCCACAGCGCAGACAGGTTCTTATCCTGGGCAAGGTGCAGCCCCTGCAGAGCTCAACCCAGTGAGTGCCCCTCAGACCATCCCAGCCCGCCCCCCCCCCCCCCAGCCCTCCAAGTAGCCATGGAATCCATTTCTAGAAAGTTCCGAGGAAGGCTGTAAAAATTCATCAAG